ATTTTCAATAGTAAAAATTTATGTTTGCATGGAAAAAAAGTAGGGGACAGCCCCCCTCCCTCCCCCGGTTCCCTCTGTTGCTACGTTCCTGCGTCCTGTAAGAAAATGTTTGCTCTTCAAAAGTAGACCTGCTTGAAATGAAGCTATAATGACATAAAGTATACAATTTAAGGAAGCTATAATATTTTCACATATCGTAAACACATGATTCATTGTCATTCAAACATAATGGTGACAAAACTCATTCTTTCGTAATGCAACCACTTTGTTACCAACGAATATGAAGTACAGCGTTAAGTAAATAAGGAGAGGTTAGTAGGTGTATTCCATTTACAAATACATGTATTACATGTTATTCTGCAATATTCTTCAGTATGGCTCATAAAAATGGATATAAAAAATGAAAGTTTTCCATAGCTAATAGGACCTAATTCTCTATCCTGAAATATCCATCACGTATATAATACTCTGATTTTTCATTTTATAGTAGAAAAGGATTTACCAAGAGAAAATTTCAAAAATGTAATTAACTGAGCAGTAATTAATTAACAGAAACTGCATTGAAGTCCATGGAGACAAGCGATTTTTGTTTAAATAAAAAATTAAATAATAAGAATATCAATAAATACTGTGGTGGAAAGATGCATTAAATCATTAGAAATAGAATGACAATTGAAAACAATTTTTTTACCGTATAGTTTTTTAAAATTGATTTTTATTACTGAAAAAAGGGGAGATAACTCTTCAACAAAGGTCAAGGTCATAAATTAGGACATATTCCATTCTTACATGCTAATAGTAATAAATGGGAATTATGTCTAAATATACTGAGTATTCCACCCGTACAAATCTGTTAGGTATTCAAATTCATTGAATCTGAGGTTATTAGGGATGGAATACTAAACATAAAAAATTCTTTTATGTTTCGTTGACATTACTAATGTTCTCACTATTACATGCATGAACAATAGTTTAAGTCAATTGACTCCTATAATTACAGAGTCCTTTGGCCCATTTAATAATCAAAAGTCATTTCTTAGTTATTAAAAATGATTTTTATCTTGTACACCTGACCACTGTGTTGCAGATTTTTTTAAATAAAATATCACGAGCTATTTTTTAAGCGATTGTAAACATGGTAATCTCTAAAATCCCCTTCCCTCTCATTACTAGTATACCGGTAGTATTTCTGAGAATCACAACATTCATACATGTATCTTAACTGAATATATTTTAATCCGCTGATCAATCCCATTGATTTATCAAGATTATGTTTTTATAACGAATCGAAGTGAGCATCTTTCATCAACAATAATATTATACGTAGGTTTGAATTTATTCATTTCAAGGATCATAAAAATAAAATTTCAATGGGTGTTGTAGATATTTTTCAGAATGATTACTTATAACTCGATTTACACAATCGTGAATACTTGATGACTTTAACAACTTTACGACCTAACGACTGAAGAAGTTAATAATTGGTTTTAAAATCTTATATTGCACTCAATGAACCCTTAAACCTGGAAAACCCATCTGCATTTATCTTATGATACAGAAATTACAAGAACAAAATTCAGTTTGAATATCGAGTTGCTATTTTTTTCTCCTTTGTAAATTTTTGTATCAAGATTTTTGTGGGACAGTATAATTTTGGGGAAACAAGGAAACTGCACAATGTCAACGGTCACCTGGTACATTTACAATATGTTGAGTATTTCGACCATGGACAAAATATCAGAGAAAGCAACATGTATGTAAAATGACTAATTTGAAAGGCATTTTGAAATAAACATCAAACAAATTAAGAATATAAGATAAATGTTCCACGAGTCTCTAATAAATGTTCTTTGTACAGGTATACTTGAATATAAAAGCATATATTTCATGTCTATTATAAGAACTTATCTTTTCAGTTCTACATATATAGGACTCTTTTAAATTAAGTATTCATGATCATAGTCATTTAACATTTTGAATCGACGACGTGTTTTCGGATACTTCTATATTTTTATTAAGTCATAATTGTGGTATGTTCTCTCTCCCTCATCAGAAGCATATACAAACTATATATATATATATATATATATATATATATATATATATATATATATATATATATATATATATATATATATATATATATATATATATATATATATTGCATGTAGTTGAGTGTAACATTGAAAATTTTCACCCCAAGAAAACCATTGTCAACCGAGGCGCGACCGAGGTTGACAATGGTTTTCGAGGGGTGAAAATTTTCAATGTTACACTCAACTACATGCAATTTTTATTATATTATACTGAATGTTTTACACAAATACATATAACAGTGAACCTTGCGTGCATAAATTCTGCGCAGTCAATATTTTTTGGAATAACACCCGTCGTCAAGCAATGTTGACCGTTGCTACGCTGCAGGGAGTGACTTCATTATTCAGCTAATTATAGTATTTTTAAGAAATGTTTCTCGACGAATCAGATTCAACTAATTTAC